GGAAAACATGGAGAAACCCTGTCTCTACTAAAAATACAAAAATTAGCTGGGTGTGGTGGTGCGTGCCTGGAGTCCCAGCTACTCAGGAAGCTGAGGAGCGAGAATCGCTTGAACCCAGGAAGTGGAGTTGCACTGAGCTGAGGTGGTGCCACTGCACTCCAGCCTGGGCGACAGAGGGAGACGCTGTCTCAGAACAAACAAACAAACAGAACGGCAGGGCTGGACTTCAGAAGACCATGAAATAAGACCTTCACAAATCTGAAGAAAAACGCTTTTCATTCTTGAATACTATACCCAGCCCAGCTGTTAATTAAATGTGAAGGTAGAATAAAGACATTTTCAGGCCGGTAAGATCTTACAAACTAAGCTTTCTCTGGAAGATTCTATGTTTTCTTCCTGGGGAGCCTTTACTTACCCTGACCGTTATACGTATTCGTAATACATAATGAAACAATTATACAACTTACCATCCATCACGTAGAATCAGTGGGGGCCCTGAGCTTGTTTTCCTGCAACTAGATGGTCCCATTTGGGGGCGATGGGAAACAGTGACAGATCATAAGCCATTAGACTCTCATAAGGAGCGTGCAACCTCGATCCCTCGCATGCGCAGTTCACAAAAGTGTTGGCGCTCCTGTGAGAATCTAATGCTGCCACTGATCTGACAGGAGGCGGAGCTCAGGTGGTCACGTGAGCAGTGGGTGTGGCTGTAAATACAGATGATTCTTCCTATCTGGTGCTGCTGTTCATCTCTTGCTGTGTAGCCTGATTCCTAAAAGGCCATGAACACCTGCTGTAAGGTCTACTTTTAAGCCACCACCTCCTCCAAGAAGGATTTTCTGTTTCTGCCAGTAGGATGCAGCCTAAACGTGGGTGTTCACAGACCTCTCTATATCTCCTTTCTCCACAAGATATCCACCTTTTATTACCTGAAACAAACAGTGGAAGCTTCTTGCAGGCAAGAGACTTGTCTGTCCATTTCTTCTTTGTGGCTTTGGCCTTGCAGTCTCTCGCACCCACCAACTGCGCCAAAAACATTTTCTTTAACATAGGAGATACTCAGTGATAAAAGAACAATGGACTCCAGATTGAACGTTATTCCATTGGCTAAGAAGATCACATTGAGTCCATCTTTTTTTTTTTTCTTGAGACAGAGTCTTGCTCTGTTGCCTAGGTAAGAGCAAGAGATCTCAGCTCACTGCAACCTCTGCCTCCCAGGATCAAGTAATACTCCTGCCTCCGCCTCCCAAGTAGTTGGGATTACAGGCACACGCCATCACACCAGGATAATTTTTATATTTTTAGTAGATATGGGGTTTCACCATATTGCCCAAGCTGGTCTCAAACTCCTGACCTCAGGTGATTCACCCACTTTGTCCTCCCAAAGTGCTGGGATTATAGGCATGAGCCACCAGGCCCAGCTGAGTCTACCTTATCTCTGCTTCAATTCCTTGTACATCCAGATTTCCCAACTCAGAGTCTCTGCATATAGGGCAGAAGGCATCATTTTTGAGGATCAAAGGACAAAAGAAGAAAATTATTATTTCAATTAAAGAGAGATGATCATATGAGCCAGCAATTTCACTCCAAAATACATACAGATGTGAAATGAAAATATACGCCCACACAAAAACCTGTACAGGAATGTTCATACCAGCATTATGCACCATACCTCAATGGTGGAAACAACCCAAATGTCCAAAAGTAGCCAATCACAAAAGCCAGCCTATTGTATGATTCCATTTCTATAAAACATCCAGAACAGACAAATTTGTAGGAACAAAAGTTGAACAGTGGTTCCCTAGGCCTGTGGGCAGGGGGATGGTTGGGGAGAATGAGAGTTATTGCTAACAGGCTTGGAATTTCTTTATGGGGCAATGAGAATGTTCTAAAACTGATTATAGTGACGGATGTACACCTCTAAACAAACTATAAACCATTGAATTACACACTTTCAATGGGTGAATTATATCTCAGTAAAGTTGTTTTCAAAGAGAAGATCTACGTGGGAATAAATTAGATTCATATATTACTTGTCATTAAGGTAATATCAGATAGCACGAATGGAAATGACCAGGATTTGCAAAGTATGCCACAATGGCACAATCTCAAAACACACATTTGGAACCTGAAAACAGCAAGTTAAAAAACAGTCAGTCAGTTGGTATTTATTGGCCTCAAAATGAACACAGAATCTGTTCACTGCAGAGTTGAGCCATTAAGAGAAGCGTTAACAAATAGAGAGTGGAAAATATTAGGTTTATTGACAGCACGGAGTACCCTGTTATACAGCATTTTGTAGGTCACTTGGATTTTAAAAGGCAGTATCTCTAGACTCACTTCTTGCTAATCACATTATTTCTTAGAGCTATTATTAAGGTGATTAGTGGATAACGTGTTTGTATTTATACAGGACCAGGATCTAAAAGCACTGCTAAGATCATTTGCACAGACTTATTTATTACATGTGATCTGGAAGGTGAGTAAAAGCACTGACTTGTAAGGTCCTTCTGTTTAATGGATGCTATGATGGCTACAAAGTAAATGTAGAAAATGTCTGATTCTTCTAAAATGGCTGTGAAAAGTTAAACAGGATGAATTGTTATGTTTTTCAACTTTAAGGCTTCATTTTGAAATAGGTTTCATAAAGGCATGATGACATCCTGGCAATGAATTTGGTTATTTTTATAGATAAAAGGAAACATGTATACAGGGAACTAGGCCTCTATAGTCCCTGTTTTGCATGATTTCTTCAAGGATATTGGGATTAATAAACGAAACCATGATTTTAATATAAAGGAAAATTCAATACTCATCTTTCTATCTTCTTTTGAGACATAATCAAGTTCTCACTTAGCCAAGTGTATCTCATTTGAATACATCAAAGGTTTAAGATATTGACCTAATTTTAAAGAAAAAGCTATAAACTATTTAAAAAATTTTTTTGTGGGTACGTATGAGATGATCTGATACAGGCATGTAATATGAAATAAGCATGTCATGGAGAATGGGGTATCCATCCTCTCAAGCTTTATCCTGTGAGTTACAAATAGTCCAATTACTTCTTTAAGTTATTAAAAATATACAATTAAGTTATTATTGATTATAGTCACCCTAGTGTCCTATCAAATAGGTTTTATTCTTTCTATTTTTTTGGTACCCATTAACCATTTCCATCTCCCCCATTAAATAAACTATCTTTCATTAAACACAGGAAATAGTTTTTCAATTATTTTGCCTTTTAAAGTCTCTTTCTTTTATCTTCAACATCATTTGTAACTACCAACTTTTGAGGCTGTAGGACAAGTAGCATGACCCTGGTTTGATTTAGGAGCAACGTTTTGATCCATGCTGGGTTAAAAGATCTTTTAAAAGTTCTTTACAGCAATGTCATTTAACTCATGACGTAGCACACAGTCATGAACAAAAATGCCCCAATGAGATAACAATTGAAAGCCAAACCCACAATATACTGGGCTGTACCAGGACCGGATATGAGCCCGAGAAACTGTTCAATTTTGGTATATGAAACTTACATGAATAAATTAGCTACAAATAGAACAATCTTATTTTTGGAATACAAATTGTAGTTTTTTTGTACTTTACACACAATGCAAAATATAGAATATAGAATTCAGATTCTCAGCTGCAACCTATATTAACTACAGTGCTCACTGGTAGCGATTAACTTTACAAGACATACATTCATTATTTAATGTTCTTCCTTATTTCATTTCAACTTCACAATGTTTTAAGTGGCTAACATTGGTACAGCAGGTTAGCTGATGGCAACCGGGCCATGTCCAGTTTCATCCGGTTCCACCATCACAAAACCCTCCCTGTATCTGGTATTTATGAACTGCCTCTCAGAGAAGACTGTCAGTCTTGGAGAAAATTTCCCTGCCAGTTGAGGTAAGAACATCGTTGTGATATATAAAGTAGTGCTTTTTAGAAGTCAAGGTCTCCTGGCAGTTCCTCAGTAGACTTCTAGGGCAGCCGCACTAGAGGTCATGAATAATGTATTACATAAGGGACGTCCATGCATTCAAACCAGAATCTCCTCACCACAATTCCCATAGCAACACACGAAGATTATACTCATCTCTGAGCTGAAGCAGCCAGCAGAAATGCTATCCTGATATTTCTAGCATGATCAACAAGGGACTTGCCCTTTTTCAAAACAATTTTTTCAAAGGAAAATCAACAACCATGTTAAGACAGGTTCATTGGGAAGCAACTGAGTACCCCACAAACCAAGCTACCTTCAACTTGAATGATCTGTGCTTTAGAAACAGCCACTATTCAAATGACAGCATGGGAAAAAGAATTCAGATCGTTGCCATTAGTGAAATGAAACACAGACTGAGATAAATCCTGTAACTATCTATTTCATAGCTGTTATGCAGTCTCCTCTCTATATATACACATTTTATTAAGATGGGATGGAGAAGAGCATGTTGTAGGAGAAGAAACTTATAAAAAATTAATAAAATCCTCTGTTGCTTTTTGAAAAGCATGATGTGATCCATTTTTAAACCAAGAGGATACTAATATAAAACACCTGTGAAGTACAATTCAGGGGAAAAGCTGTTCAAGTCTAAGAAAACAAACATTAGCTTGAAGTCAGTTTTGTTTTGTTTTGTTTTTTCTTAGCAGAGATATGGTTTAATGGGGAAATGAAGTAACATGTGTTGACACCAGGTGCAGTTTTTCCTCTTTGTACATTCAGGGGTGCTTTTGTATGTGTCCAAATAACCCATCTACCCACATAAACGAGTTGCTTGGATGATAAAACAACATAGAAGGCCACGCTTACACACCTCACTTCCTTTTTCTGCCAAGGGAAGAAATTATGCTCCATTTCCTGTATCTTTCTAAAACCAGACAATGAAATGCTCTAATAGACCAAACAAGCTTTAGCAGAAACTTCCACAGGTGGTCTGTCCAGGGCACAGCACAACTTGCAAAGAAAGGTCTTGGCAGAGAGGATATGATTTTACCTTTGCCTTTTCCAGCTGTGCCTGGGCCTGCCGCTCTGCTTCTCTGCGCACTGCCTCCCGGTCCTCCTCCAGGGACACATCGGAATCGGATGGACGGCTAGTGTAGGAGTCTGCCGAACCCTGCAGAGGAAAATGGACATTTCAAAGTCGATTCAGTCTATGATGTTGGCACTGGAAAAGTCTCATCGACACAGCAGTTACCTTCCCGGATTGTGCTATGCGATCCTGAAAAGAGGAGAAAATAATTCATTTTGCAGCATCCTATCTAGAAAATCATGTTCTGGTTTGCAGACAATCAACAGAATAGTTGTGTCTACTGAGTTGCCATTCCTTCCTGAGCTTTATGTTCCAAAAAAACTATCCTTCCTGGAAGCCAGAACAAGTTGCTTTTAGAATTAAGCCAGCTTGATGGTGCAGTGCAGAACTGAAGGGCAATGATGGGGTTCAAGGATAGCTCCAAGAGCAATCTACATGCTACAGCAGGTATTTAAAGCTAGGAACACATTCAGCCTAACAAAAACATAAAAGAAAGTCTAAGTTATAAACTTGAACTCTCCAAAATGCCACTACCATGATATGACTCCTACTCGAATCTGAAGAATCCTTGTTTACCTTTTTATACACCTGCTATTTTCTCTGACAAAACTGTAAGACACGAGCAGCTAACTTTGCTCCATGTTCCAGCAACACATTTTAAAATACCTTTACCTAGATGTAATCAAAGCTGTCTACAGAATACACCTGCCCGGGAAAGCTCATCTGGCAATTAATCACAACGCAGGGAATGGAGCTCAAAGAAACGAGAGCAATCTCCCTAGCTTCCTCTCTTGCAGTCATGATCCGATTAACCAAATCAAACCACCCTCTCTACCTGCACTCACTGCAACCACAGAAAAGCAGAGACAAAACCACCTCTCCCCCAAACGAAAGCCCCTGCGCTTACACAGATATCAGAATTCTTCAGCCTTCCTCCCTTGGCTCTTTTCAGAAGCCTGATCCAGGTGGCCTTCATGAGCCAGACAGCGCCTTTATCGTCCGCAGCTGCAGCCCCCGGCACAGGTTCTCAGTGCGCGCTGAGCCCCGGAGAACCCCAGCTCCTTTCCTATCCATGCTCTGGGCAAGCCCCTCTTCTCCGTCCCTTTCTGCCTCTGGGGCTTTCACTCCCTGCCCCAGAGGACTCCCATCCAGGGAGATTCTTATTTTCCCATTCCAGGAGGGGCTGAAAACACACACTCCAATGCTTTATATTGCCTTAAAAATAAAGAACACTTCAAGTGCATTCAAAGCCGGGCATCAACTCGTTCTAAACTTAATGCATCTCATAATCCTAAACATTCTCTTCCCTGCGCTCAAATTGTTAAAGGAAATTAGTTGTAAAAGAATCACAGAAGAAAAAAAAAAAAACTAGTGCAAAAACGTATGCAGTGACATTTGCAAGTGCAAAGTTCAAGCCTTATCTTTGGAGATCTCGGGGGGAGGGGGAGGAGGAGGGAGAAGGACGCACTCCCACACTGGGCATGCTCCATATGTCGCCTTTTTACGCAGATGCTCACATCACACTGTTAGTCTATGTCAAATTGCCATTTTACATCCGAAGTGTAAACAGCTGGAAAGGTCTCTTTGGTTCTATAGTAACCGGGCTCGTGGTATGTGTGTCTGTGTCTGTTTCAGATAAAACCTTCTCTCAAAAACAAAACATGTGATCGTTTCCTTTAATAATCCCTTTCTATTACCTGCTCCAGAAAGTGTCCTATGCTACAAGGCAATTCACAGGTAGCAAATATCCTATGCAATACTGCATAACAAAAATCAAATAATGCTCATCAGTTCTTTATTGCTTGTGACTTCCCAAACAAGATGAGAGAGAGACGTGGCCATTTAATTAGGACATGAAGGTAATCACAGCTCTATAAAGCAATGAGTTTAACGGAGCTCAAAATGACTTCAAACTGCTTCTCCAACTGAGAAACTACCATTTGAAATAAAGCCACTGGCATAAACAGCAGTGTGAATTGTTATAACCATGCTTACAAAGAAATTTCAAAGCTTGGTTAATTTATTAGTTGGAGTTAAAATTCACAGAATAATTGAATCCCGACTCTGCTTGCTGATGAGATGAGTGAGGCTGAAGAAGGAAAGATGCTAACGTTATTAATTTCCTGTACTAATGAAATTACATTTTTAAAGTTTGCTTGGGAAGAAATATACACTTTGCTTTCTCAACATAAACAAAATTCTATCCCTGCAGTCTAAACTGCATTTGTTTGTGTGTGGTGGGAGAATATTTTGTACATATAAAAATGAAAAAAAAAAAGTTCCTAAGAATACTTAAGAACCATGGCTGGATGCAGTGACTCACGACCGTAACCCTAGCACTCTGGGAGGCCAAACTGGGAGGACTGCTTGAGCCCAGGAGTTTGAGACCAGCCTGGGCAACACAGTGAGACCCCATCTCAAAAAAAAAAAAAAAAAAAAAAGTCTGCCTTCCTCCTCTTCCCTTCTACCCTTCCTCCCTCCCGACCCTGCACTCTACACTAATATAATCTTCAAGACCCAAATGCTAGAAAATACATAGAATAGGGGTCTCAGAATGAAAGTTAGTGATCAATTGTACCTCAATTGTGGTATCTTGACATAAATTAATAGATTACCTACTGTTACGATGTGAATGTAAAACGCATGGAAGATAAAGGGGCTTTGCAAGCTCTTTGTTCAAGCAAATTGACAAGGGAGAAATGAGCATATCAACAGAGACACACACCTGGCAGAGGATTCCTAATCTTCCTAGAGGGCTTCTTATTGTAGCAGTAGCACAGCAGTGGGCGGTGGGTGGTTGGGGGGGGACAGGAGGGGGTAGGATGGGGAGGGATGACATTAGGAGAAATGCCTGATGTAGGTGATGGGGGGTTGGGGGGAAGATGGAGTCAGCAAATCACCACGGCACATGTACACCTGTCCAACAATCCTGCAAAATCTGCACACGTACCCCAGAAATTAAAGCACAATTAAAGAAAATTACCAGGAAGCATAATTATACCCCATAAGGGGCCCCTGTCCCCACTGTCACCAGTCTTGCCATGTTAGGCCCAATCACTCGACTACAGGTTCAAGTTACAGCTCAATGAAAGGACAAAGTTTCTATCAGTAAGAACCCAGCAATGACAGGAAGTACATAAAGAGAGGGCCGCATAACACCCACGCTAATTTTGTGTGGTCTCCTTCCCTTTTAAATAAAGTAAGATATAAAAACTCCTTTCCTAATATTCAGATGGAAGTTTTAGATTGCATTGCTACGTTGAGGCCTGTTTCCAGGTTTAAACAGCAGTTAAAAACAAAAATCTCTTCAATGCCTTGACTATTTTATAGGATGTGACTATGAATTGATCTTTAGAGTAGTTCACAGAAGCATAAAAAGAGCCAGATTACTTTCATTCCTTGTATCTCTAATAGTATATACTTTCACATACACATTTTTTTTTTTTTTTGAGACAGGGTATAAGTCTGTCACCGAGGCTACAGTGCAGTGGTGCAATCATGGCTTACTGCAGCCTTGACCTCCTGGGCAAAAGTGATCCCCTCACTTCAGCCTCCCAAGCAGCTGGGAATACAGGCATGTGCCCCCATGCCTAGCTAATTTTTAAATTATTTCTTGTAGAGATGGGTCTTCCTATGTTGCCCAGGCTGGCTGGTCTCAAACTCCTGGGCTCAAGCAATCTTCCCACCTTAGCCTCGCAAAGTGTTGGGATTACAGGTGTGAGCCACCTCAGATGGCCTCAAAATATTTTTCATTACAGAAGTTTTATCCAACCAGCAGTGAAAGAGTGACACAAATAACCATCCCTGAAAGTCTCCCATCCAAACATAGCCACAGTTAAATAGTAGCATGTTTCAGCCTCTGGAGCTGTTGCAACGTTTGAAAGTCACCCTCCTGACACATGCCTTACAGCTAATCTCCTTTCTTCTGGGAATGTGGATGTATGCAGTTAAAAGTGATATATCTAATTAAGCTTTTGCCTTTGGAACCATATGGACTTTCTGGGTCATCGTGCCTCAAGTAGTCTTCAGTCAGGAACAGCTGGCGGCCGTCTCCATAACTCCGGGGTAGGTTCATTACAAGATGTGCCCTTGATCACTATGGCTCTTACAATGTGATGAGCTGGTCTTTTGCAGTATTTGTCCTTGTCGCTGCATCGAATTTCAGCTACCCAGATTTTCTTTTCTACATCTTAATAACTGAATTCCTATTTGGACATTTCCAAAAATGTAACTAATAGTTCTTCCCAGGATCATCATCTTTTATCCTCAGAGTTCTCACTTTTATGTTCATTGCTTTTAAGAAAATTTTGTATCATTGGATTAATTTATGCTTTTATTTACTCTTCAGTTTCTTTTTCCGCTTTTATGTCTGATGTTCTCACAAGAAAGCGTCATCCTTTTTCTTTCTTTTTTTTTGAGACAGTCTCGCTCTGTTGCCCAGGCTGGAGTGCAGCGGCTCAATCTCAGCTCACTGCAACCTCTACCTCCTGGGTTCAAGCGATTCTCCTGCCTCAGCCTCCCGAGTAGCTGAAATTACAGGCGCGCACCACCATGCTCTGCTAATTTTTGTATTTTCGGTAGATACATGTTTTGCATGTTGGTCAGGCTAGTCTTGAGCTCCCGACCTCAGGTGATCTGCCTACCTCAGCCTCCCAAAGTGCTGGGATTACTAGTTTGAGCCACTGCTCCCGGCCACCCTTCTTTTTTTTTTATACACATTTTAAAATTCATACAGTTTGCTGTTTTGATGCGGTACTCTGCTGTTACACAGTCACCTATATTTTCAGCATCAGGGTTTTGGAGCATTCTTGTAGTTTTCTCTTTTAAAGCCCAAAGGATAAGAGTTGTAAGCCTATTTTGCAGAGACCTCTTGGATCCCAAATTGTGTTTTCTCTTTCTGTAGGAAATCTTTATATGAAGTCTAAAGCCATGTTCTTGAGCAAAATCAACCTTTTATGTATCCCAAGGCCAGCCTGATTCTAGACAAGGCTATAACCCACCAAAATTCTCAAGATTTTAGACCACCTCCTCATGTATAGGACAATGCTAACCCAATTGCAAATTCAACTTCAATTGTTTCCTTC